TCTAGAGAATAATTCAGCTATAACACTCACTACATGCAGTTACACACAACCAGACAATAGGTTGGATGGGATAGGATGACAGTTTTAAAATCTAATGTCACAGGGTGAATGGAGGGAGAGATTGATAACAGAAGCTTTGTTTATCGAATCAACTGAGAACAGAGTACGTGTAATAGGAATGATTCAACACCAGTCCACCCAGATATCTGGAAAATTCTACTACCCCAAAGACAACAAATAGGAGAGAACAAAGAAAACTATAAAACTCAAGTTTCAAAGTCGTGTGATTATAATTGATGGAATGATTATGAACAGTAATAAATTTTGTTCGAAACCTTGTCATCCAGTAAATAATAATTGTTCACTGACGGTGTGATACATCTAATAAACCAACTAACTAATGTGTTGAAATTTCTCTAGTATATTGATTGGTTTAGTGGTGCGGATTGGTTAGCGCTAGACACATTCCTCCCTATTCACTTAAGCTTGAGGCTGGCTAGAAAACTAGCAAGTTAGTTAACTAGACAAGGTTAAAATGACAGCGGTTTATTTTATGGCTTCTAGTTAAATTGATAAAATTCTACAAATTAGCTGTGCTTATGAAAAATCCTTAAATAAAATATCATATGCTATCCGAATTGACTGATTATGAGAAATTAAAAGAAGTGTGTTTGATTGAAAAATTTCGCATATGACCAATTCAATGTGCATATACCAGTTCACTTGCTTGTGCGGAGTTAGGTACATAGGTCGTTGTATGCGCATCCTTTCAAAACGTGTTAGAGAACACTACCCAGCGTGGCTGCAAAGAGAGGAGGCACCGGTTCAATCAGAAGTGCCATTATTGAACATCTGGTCAACACCTCCCACAAATTCTCAACTGATTCTTTCAAAGTGATTTACAAAGTCAACAAAAGCCTACCAAGAGCAATATGTTTCCGACTTCTTTGTACTGCAGAAGCCCTCGCAATATGCATCGAGAAGCCGGAGCTGTGTGTTCAAAAGAAGTTAGTCCAACCTCTACAACTACCATAGACCTAGCTTGGTATGTTCCCTTTGTTTCCGTCTTTTTTTCTCTCCTCGTCTGTTTTCATTCTCGCGTTTTCCTTTAGAGCATTTTTCGTTCTCTGTATGTCTGATCCTTAGTCCCTCAGTCTTCATTAGATCCACCTAATTTTTTTCAGTTTTAAAATTAGTTATTTTAAGTTTGTTTCCATGCTCCTCCTGATCACACTGGTAATCCGTTTAGAATAACCATTTTACAATTATATTCTAATCTTGTGTAATTTTTTGTTTCTATGCCTCTTGTTATCAATATTCATACCTCCTAACTAACATTTCAAGTTGAAAATTTTGATTTCAATTTGTTTCCATGCTCATTTTGTTCACACCTGTAGTTCGTTCTGTCCCTGCGTTTCTAAGCCTTTTGTAATTCATATCAAGTCGAAAATAATTATCACCTTTGATTCGCCTTTAAAATTATTTCTCCAGTTATCAAATATTAATTTTTTTGCATACGTTGTAACAATTTTTTTTAATCCTATGAAATCTTGTCTCTAAGCTCCTTGTAATCTATATTTGTACCTTCGAACTATCATATGAAGTTGAAAATTATTATCACCTTCGTTACTATGTGAAATTAAACAAATAATAATTGAAAAATTAACCAGCTACAAAAAAAAAATTGATTGTATCCATAGATACATAAGTATTCAATATGCAGATATATACACGGACATTGTTGTGCAAAATTTATATGGATATGCATATTTGAAGGTTAATCATGGCATGATAGAGTTCTACTCCACTAATTATTATCAATGACATCATCAAATCTATAGACTGATGTAGACTCCCAGACCAAGACGGAAAACAACAGTTCAGTAATTCCAATTGGTTTTTCCAAAACTTCTCTAATTGAAAACATTTATTTCCTGATACGAATTTAAAACAAGCAATAAAGGTTAATAGAGCAGGATTTAATGAATTCATCAAATTTCGGTAGAACTTGTCAGCTGAATACTCTACATACACGGATATATATATATATATATACTTTTGAAATTACACTGAGAGATATAAGACTGATAAGTAAATAAACTACATTGAATTAGTCATGCAGAAAGACAGGTGCGAATGTTTTCCAGGTCATGTTCAAATAGATAATTGGGGGAGAGAGAGAGTATGAGAGATCAAAATTAAGATAAACTGCATTACGCTTCAATTACATCACTAAGATAAACAATTAGTCATTAGGGAATATAACGAGAATTTCAAACAGACTAATATCAATAGTAATAGTTATAATACCAACTTTATTAGTGTTGAAATGAGTTAAGATAAGGCTACTGATAAACGATAGTTTTAAATGAATCAAGAATAATAATAAGAGGTAGAATAATAAGTAAAACGTATTACCATGGTAGATTCAGAGTGACGACCCTCTCCTTTTTGTACGCAGAGACCTGGTTTATAAACACGGATTGCACAAGCCACTGCAATGGCCAGCATCTTCTTACTTCTTTGTCTGCTGACAATGGTGAATGACTTGACAGTGTCAATATCATGTCTATAGTCCACAAGATGTTTTGTTATTGAGGTTTTGAGCACTTTGCATTCACCTGTTTTCAACTATTTTGACTAATGCTTCATCGTGCGAGTAGACAATCGCCTTTCTCTACGATTTATATACTTGTTGTTATGATCATAGCATACACAACAAACGGAATTATACCTAAGATATATATATATATATATCGATGATGATATATATTCAACTCATTCCATCCAAATTCTAGCTTCACAATAGAACACAAGCAAAATGATACCATTATATGCCCAATAAGAAGATGCTAAAACGATATACATTCAAGTAAACAGACTCTTTTCCTACATATATACAAGAGAATGACATGAATATCTCGAAGGCAATATCTGGTATATTAACTGCCAGGATATCTTAGAACGCGTTTTATGGGATATGTTACTCAAGTTAGTGAGTGAAGAGCACAGAAGAAGCTGATATAGTTTATGGAAGTATTTGAAAGTAAGCTAGAGACTAATGAATTTCCGACTGATCCTATCCTAAAAAGCGCGCCCACAATTATAAATAATTGGGAATTAAATTAGGTGCAACTCAAAGTACTTTCCCTTGGCCTTCGGTTTTCCCATAGACTGAAGCGAGTCAATCACTTAGATACTGATAGTGAATTTAAAAGTCTGTTAAGTCAAATAGGTGGTTTACTTTCATCGGCTGTAACAAGAGAAGACAAGGGCCAGGCAACAGATCGTTTATTAAGGAAATCAAAACGTATTTATATATTTTCATGTACACTATTATGGCTTATTCAAGCAAACAAACACAGTCTTCTGATTGATTGTTTCTCACATAAGGTTGACCCTACATCTCCTTGTGACTGCTTCTTGAATGTCAGGTCATCTATATGTTAGCTATACCTGCCTACGCCAGATTCGGCTCTGATTGGTTGTTGAATCAGTCTTGTCCATATTTTCTCATGACCAATATTTGCGACGTAAACATTGACGTAAATTAATGTCTACCAATTTGGTTAGCAGCCTGCTCTAACCACAGTTCTTCTCTGTTCTGATTAGTCAGGAAACATCAAATACGCCAGTATTTGATGTTTTTTGTACTGATAACAACAATCCATTAGACAGGACTTGACGTTTTCTAGTTCCACGATAGCTGATGAAAGTAAACCACCTATTTGACTTAACAGACTTTTAAATTCACTATCAGTATCTAAGTGATTGACTCGCTTCAGTCTATGGGAAAACCGAAGGCCAAGGGAAAGTACTTTGAGTTGTACCTAATTTAATTCCCAATTATTTATAATTGTGGGCGCGCTTTTTAGGATAGGATCAGTCGGAAATTCATTAGTCTCTAGCTTACTTTCAAATACTTCCATAAACTATATCAGCTTCTTCTGTGCTCTTCACTCACTAACTTGAGTAACATATCCCATAAAACGCGTTCTAAGATATCCTGGCAGTTAATATACCAGATATTGCCTGCGAGATATTCATGTCATTCTCTTGTATATATGTAGGAAAAGAGTCTGTTTACTTGAATGTATATCGTTTTAGCATCTTCTTATTGGGCATATAATGGTATCATTTTGCTTGTGTTCTATTGTGAAGCTAGAATTTGGATGGAATGAGTTGAATATATATCATCATCGATATATATATATATATCTTAGGTATAATTCCGTTTGTTGTGTATGCTATGATCATAACAACAAGTATATAAATCGTAGAGAAAGGCGATTGTCTTCTCGAATGATGAAGGATTAGATTTATTTTCCGAGTTTGACCTCGGATTGATATCAGTTAGAGAACCACTGGAAAACCAGGGGAGTACTGGAAAGTTGTTTCCTTCCAGTCAGGAAAACATCTGAAGTAGACACGCACTGACAGAGTTCGAACCTACGAAATTCTAGTTACACAGTAAGCTAGCTCGTAAACTATTCAGCCACTTGGACCCGATTCAATGGCCAGTGCATGAATTCTAACTTTTGAAGATTATTCTAATGCTCACTAGTTATTTTCTACAGGACGGAGTTTCCTGGAGTTCTAGTGAGACGTGGTGACCATTGAAGTCCATTCGGTCGAGAGTGTTGACGAATTTCGCATTGATGACAATGGTTGGTTGTTTCGGTGAAATCACCAATTGGAAGAAGTTTTGAATTCATGCACTGGCCATTGATTTGGATCTCAGTAGCTGAATGCTGTACGAGCTTGCATGACTTGTAACTCGAATGTTGTATATCGAAACCCTGTACGCAGGTGTGTCCTGCTGATTATTTCCAAGTTTATTTACTCCTGAAGTAGTTGTGGCGCGCGCACACACACACACACAGAGAAGCGTTCAGAAGCATTCTTGTTTTATTTTCTTTGAAAATTTTGAAACTTTTGTTAGTTTATTTCTGTTTTCATATTTGTTACTTGTGGGTTTTTTTCTTTTCATTGGAAATTAGTTCCTCAGTTTCTTCAGACGCCAGAAACCTATGGTTCATTTGTAAGTTTACCGGTTGGTTCAAATGCAAAAATATATGTATATGAAACTTGGTGGGATGTAAATTCGATAAATTCAAAATTTCTGGATAATGATCTCTTTTCTTTAAATGTGAAGTCAAATGGTTTTTATGTTCAACCGCCTAAAAATTATGAAGTCTATCCTAAGGCTGGTCGGAAACATATTCCTATTGATCGATATGGTCGATATTTCATAAAGATTTACATCGAAGGTAAATTCTACTTATTATATTCTTTCTTGAATTCAGTTTTCATGATTAAATTTTTTTCTTTCTCATTTTTTTGATGATGTCATATCAATTAGCATGTAACGACTTATTATATGACTACTAGTCAATTGCGCCTATTGAAGTAGGTTGAGGTGATTTGAACTCAGGACAGAGAGTGAATGAAGAACAACTGTACAAGACATTGAACTATGTTTCTACACTTAATGGGGTGGATCTTTGTATATATATATATATATATATATATATATATATATATATAAATTTTATGTCAGATTCCTTCTAATCAGCCTGCGAATCTGCGCATCATAATCGAAGAGAGCACATATATATATATATATATATATATATATAATGGCAATCAAACCTCTTCCTACATCAATTTCATCGACACTGAAAATACCATGTCAGTGTGCATTGTGCAGTAATTTGAAAATTATTTTTGCATTATAGAAAAAAAACAGTACCCCAGATGTCTTCTCAACCTCATTCAACAGCTGGCTATATGACAACGCTACGTGTCATGTCATCTATAATGCAAAAGTTAACGAAGCCTTTTAACTGAATAAAAGAATAATACATGGCTGACGGATTCATATCACCAATGACAATATTTCTAAATGTCATGGATTGCATGAATTATACGTCATATTTTGAAATGACCAGCGAGAAGACAGAAATACACAGATACCGATAGAGAGACTTCCAAAAATTTAGATTCTGCAGACAACTTATGTCCACTATCACACAAACTGAAAGATATAGAGGCGTAAACGAAGAAACTAACAGGCGAGGCACCCACAGAAGACAGGACTTCAAGTCAACACAGACAAGATGGAGGTCATGGAGATAGCTAACCATCAACACCAACACCAACAAGAACCAACAACTATTAACGGAATACATTTGACACAGGTCATTTCCTTCACTTATCTGACTTGACAGCATCGCATTGACTACGGGTGTCACGGATGAATATGTCAAAAGTAGATTCGGAAAGGCCAGACATACCTCCATCACCCAAACATTAGGGGAGAAATTTTTGTCACTCCATCTCAACGTAAACATAAAAAAACTCGGAATTTCAACACCATTGTCAAATCGGTTGATTCTTCAATGTCGTCGAATACTTGACAATCGCGTCATGAGAACCACTTCCAACAGACCAGTGCAATCGTTTATTGTCAGCTGCCAACTACGCTGACCCATACTGAAGAACAAATGACTCGCCGGCTGATTGACTGACTCACTGAATGACTGGCTGATGGTCCAGAAAGAATTAGTGGCGAACAAGAAACTCTAGCGATGAACGATCCAACAGACACGAACCTACTACTCAACCAAGAAATATGTGGACAAACGTGGAGATGGATCGAACACACGTCAGCGAGGAGAGTGATGGGTGACATCACTTGTTAGCCAGACCGTCTATCGGGTTGAACCTGCATCAAAAATGGCTAGTTGGATGTGAGTGTGAGGTTGACATGGAGGAGATTGTTTTGGCAGGAGAAGATGAAAGCTGATAGGCATTTATGCGGCCAGCTTAAAGGGGTTTGAAGAGGACTGAATGGAGTTGAGTTGTGCTGTTGAAGCCATAGTTTCCACTAGGCTTCCAAAAAGTACAATGATAGTGTAATAATACATAATAATAATAATAATACTCCTGTGATATAAAGTATCAAATGTAGTCTGTTTCTTAATTATTCATGCCACTGTATTCATCTTTAAACCTCAGCGTTTTTTTGTATATCATGTAATCGGTTATTATAAAATGTTTTAATCACGTCTATCGTATCTGTATATAGAGTGTCTCTGATAACAACTCCTTCAATGTTGAAAAGATGAATCTTGTTGACAAGTGACATAAAGCATGAAATCTAGATCGAGGATATTTTGAAGGTTTTTTTTGTCAACCTTCTCATATCAACTGAATGTATATTGTATTCCTGGTTGGTTCGCTCCCAGAGACCTTTGTTGCTGATCTTTTCTAGCCATCTGATCTTGAGTATTGAGCGAAGACAACTGTTGATGAAGGTCTGAAGTTTGTTTGAGATGCTCCTTATGACTCGCCAAGTCTCTGATCCGTATAGAAGCACTGACTTCACATTCGAGTTGAAAATCGGGATCTCATTTTTTTCATGGTGAGTGCTGTTGACCTCCACACAGACTTGAGAGTAATGGAAGCCTGCCTTGCTTTTCCGATTCTGGCTTTGATATCCTCGTCAGTTCCGCCTGTAGTTGAAACGATGCTTCCAAGGTGGGTAGGTAAAGGAGGTTGTTTCTTTCAGGTTCCTCCCATTTATGCTGGCTGATTGTTGTCTGTTGTTTTTATTGTTGCTGTTGGTGTTGGCCAGCAATCTTCATCACCTCTGTTTTATCTATGTTCACTTGAAGTCCTATCTTTGATGCTTCTTCTGACAACTTGTTACTTTTCACTTGCATATCTTCCGGTTTGTGGAAAATCAGACATATATCATCGGCGAAGTCCAGATCCCCTAAGTTTTTTGCGTGAGTCCATTTTACGTTTGTTTCCTCATTGCCCACTGTTTATCGCATTATCCAATCTACTGCAATCAGGAAAATCATTGGTGATAGTAGACAGCCTTGTCTCACTCCCGTCCTTACTTCGAAGGCTTCCGTAAGTTTCCCGTTGTGGATTACTTGGCATGCAGCATTGTCGTATAACTGTTGGATGAGATGTATAATTGTCGATGGGACCCCGTGGTAGTGAAGTAGTTGCCAAATCACCGCTCGATCGACGCTGCTGTCGAAGGCCCTTTCAAAGTCGGTGAAGTTGAGATGGAGAGGTGACTGCCATTCTAAGCTTTGTTCAATGATGATTCGTAGTGTGGCAATTTGATCAATACATGACTTGTTTCTCCTGAATCCAGCCTGTTCCGGTCGAAGTTTTTCATCCAGGTTGGCTTGTTTGATTCACTCCAGGATGATGCGGCTTAGTATTTTGCTTGGAATGGACAGGAGCATGATTCCAGGCCAGTTTTTACATTGACTTAAGTCTCCTTTCTTTGGCAGTTTGAAGAAGTATCCGTTCTTCCAATCCTCGGGTACTTTGCCCTCTTTCCACACCTTCTCCAGTAGTGGTGTCATCAAGTCCGCTGTTGTCTCTGGGTCCATTTTCAGTGCTTCTGCTGGGGTTCCATCTTGTCCTGCTGCTTTTCCGGTTTTTAGCATCTTGATTGCATTCAGGACCTCTGATTTCGTCGGGGGATCGATGTTCACTGGTAGTTCTGCTTTCGTTGTTGGTATTGTTGGGCGCATTGTAGGTGGCGGTCGATTTAGTAGTCTTTTGAAGTGTTCAGCCCAGTGTTTTCTTTGCTACACCTCTTTGTTGATTGACTTTCCATTGTCATCATTTACTGGCTTAATCTGTGTCGAACTTTTTCCCGATAGGTGCCTAGTTGTTTGGTAGAGTGTGGCGAGGTCTCCTTTGCCTGCAGCTTGTTCCGCTTCACTTGACATGGTTTCATAATATTTTCTTTTGTCTTCTCTGGCACTCTTCTTTACCCTTTTGTTCAGTGTATAGTAGCTTGAATTCAACTCCTGTTTTTGTTGCTCGTCAGTGCGCTGAATAATCTTTTGTTTCACAATCCTTCTCTCTTCTATTAGTCTCCAAGTGTCCACAGTGAGCCACTGTTTGTCCTACCTCTTCTTTCTACCTAGAACTTCCATGAAGGTTTGGCTCCACATCGTTTTCAAGTTTTCCCAGTGCTTTTCGACGTCAACCTCTTCGCTAATGTTGATTTGTGTCTCGGCTTTGTCCTTTACGCTTGCAATGAAGATATCCTTTTTAGCCTTGTCATTCAGCTTTTGAGTGTTGAACTTGGCTTGTGGTCTGTCTGCAGCTCCTCCTTTTCTGAAAGCTTTTAATTTGATTTGGATTGTCCCTTGTACGAGATAGTGGTCTGAGCCAACGTCTGCTCCTTTTCTTACTTTTGTGTCCAGTAGGCTGCGCCTCAACTTCCTTGAGCAGCATTGAGATGAAGTCAATTCGGTTTTTGATTCTCCGATCTGGTGACACCCATGTAGCCTTGTGGATATCTTTGTGTTTGTATACACTGCCACCAATCACTAGTTCGTTGAAGGCGCAGACGTCGGCGAAGAGTTTTCCATTTTCATTCATCTGTCCGAGGGCTTCTCTACCCATGATGAGTTCCCTTCCTGTGTTGTCTGGTCCTAGCTTGGCGTTCATGTCTCCCATTAGTATTTTAATGTCGCCAGCTGAAGTATTGTCCATTGTTGCCTGTAGCTGTCTGTAGAATTCTTCTTTCTTTACGGGGTCTGCGTTGTTTGTGGGTGCATAACATTGTATGATTGACACTTTCCTTCCTTCGGAGTTGAATCTGGCGGTCATTATCCTGGACTAGATCGCCTCCCATTGCATCAGGGCCTTTGTTTCCGTTGGTGACATCATGATATATATATATATATAAATGAATGATATTATATTAAATACGTTTATATTTACATTTTTGATTGGCCACTAGTTACTAACTAGTATTCAATCAAAGATATCCAGTAGACTTCTAAAAGAGGTCAGTCGTGAGCCTGAATAGCTCAGTGGTAACGTCCTTGACTGCAGTCGTCACTGGATGTTGTGGTGGTGTTGAATCTCACAAATGATATGAGTTCCTTCGAGGTTGGAGATACGCCTTGCTGACTGGTGAGTGCTAACTAACACGAAAGCTGGGTCAAGTATGTAGGGTTTCCTGTGGCCAATTGCCTCCAACTATCTAATATCAAGTTTATACTTATTTATTGATTTAAATTTTATGTGAATTTGAATTTCATTTACAAAGAAATCTATACTGGTACTCTAAACAATATTGATTCTTCGGATGTTTGGACAAAAATTGGTTCAAAAGATACATTTAAATGTGGATTATTAAGTCATAGATATTATAATCCTTTAACTTATTGGGCATCAAAACAAATCAGTGGACCAAAAGATGTCATACATATTGATCATGTACCGACTGGAAATATAATTGAACCATCTATATGTCATTTAATGTATAAAGTACCAGCTAAAATTCGTATTCAATGCAGTCTAATGGCATCTTATAGAAATATTTTACATAGATTTGAAAAGACATTAACAGTTATCGGTAAGTATTTCTTTGGTCATGAGTGTGTTCCAAATTTATCTCTTAGGTCAGTTTGTGTAATATATATGGTGAACATTATTGAGATTAAATGCAAAATGTTAGAAGCTTAGTGTCGTAGCTGGTATCTAGTATAGCACTGGGTTCAAATCCTGCCATAGCACAGACTATTGATTTCGCCTTTAATTTTTGTTTGTTTTGTTTATGATTACAGCTTGATTCTAAACTGTGTTTTTGGTACATTTATCGAATTTTCAGCGTGGATATCGGTAGCCCAAAATCGGCAGGCCGACCATAGATATCAGGTGTGCATCGGCGTGGGTTCGAACCCCGGACCATGTGCATGGTTGGCAAGAGTCCTAACGACTGTGCCACCGACGCACAGCATACTATATCTTTAACTGTCTGTTTAATAGAAAGTTATTATTATTCTCTTGGGGTTCTGTATGAAGAGGAGGATACCTTCAGTTTTATTCTATTCTTCTCAGGGGCTATCTCAGCTACCTTCATATTGATCAGGAAGCTTTCCTTTCCTCTTCACACGATCTCCTCCATTTAACCGTTGAATATCAACTAGTCCACGAATTAGCCTTGTAACCGGAAGTGTCTTGAATTCAATCCCTGGCGGTGTCTACTCACTGCCAATGAGTCTTTAACTAAGCTGATGAAATAGCTAATCAGATTTGCCTATATTTCAGATGGTTGGAAACAATCGATAAAAAGGCTTGAAAAACTAGATTCCATGCCTACAGATACTCATAAATACGGTGTATCGGTTAACTTTTAAATGAAGTGATGCCTACTAGAAGATTTTAAACTGCATTACCCATAGCTGTAAGCTGTAGTGTTAGCATTCAGTTATTTAGGATTACGTAGTAAGAATGCAAATATCCAAAAAAATATTATTTATTCCACGTTGTCACAATCTTTTTATGTAAGTATATACATATATAGAGGTAATAAATAAGTAGTACAAAGTTATATCGAAGTTGAATAAAAGTTGATTATATTTAGATGTTTGGTGTCAATCTAAACGAAGCTAGTTGGCGTTCAATCAACAGTCAGAAAGGCAGGCGTATCTGCAACCAAATTGAGCGAACTCAAGTCCCTTCTCAGATTCGATCGTGCACCAGTCAACGATGCATTCATTCTGTGACATTTAGTATCACTGAGGTATTCAAATCCACAATTGACTCCATGTAGTAATAATGTATTCAATACTTCAGAGTTGTAATGACATTTAAATACTTACCTAGTGTATCAATGATTTTGGCTTGTTTCATTGATACTTATTCATCTTAAAGCATGAGTTCCTACATGTGCTTTCAGTGGTCTGGCGGTACACTTCTTCGCAACCACTCTGGAGGACAGGGCACTGGTTCCCTGCTGAAGTACTTGTAAACCATACCAAGTCAGTTGTAACACTCGAAATGTAAGAAGGTAAAACGTGAGATGACAACTCCACTCAGTGAAAGAAGCAATAATACCACTACTAGAACTCCAAGAAGGCTTCTAAGTCCTGAGGTTGATTAGAAGTTCAAAAGAACGCAATCAACATGTTACTCTATGTATTTCGGTAAAGTGACTTAGGCATATCCAGGGATAAATATCCCGCATTCTCCTTTGAAATCTAATTACACTTAAGCAAAATTGAGAAGTTGTCGCGAGTCCAAAGTGAGAATCGACTAATAACTTTGAAAGCTTCACAAGAATATTTCCAAAACTAGACGGTAAAACACCGAATACTGAAGCCACTAGAATTAATCCTCCCGCCAACCAGACTTCTATTCCACCATCTATCCTCGGGCACCACATTACTAATTGTAAGCTTACTCACGAATATCTCAGATAGCTTTACCATCTGAAGAAAAAGAAGTATTCAGCTTCCATTACTGAATGAAGCACAAAAAATTGTGAAGCATACTTACAGTTTAATTTATTAGGGTAATTCATACAGATCTCGGAATAGTTTATCAGTAAATCAACACTAATCGTTCCATCCATTGTCTATGAAACTTCCGGCTGTAGCAGCACGCCTCCATTGTATTGAGTTCAAAATCATCAACTTCAACTGACTCCACGACTAATAACAAGCTGTCATCACCTTTCATATCATAGAGTATAATCTATGTCACACTGGAACTCAAGATTAAGACAAGGCTACCTGTCTGCTCTCATCGATGTCGATATTTCTGACTGTGGTGGACTAGATTATGTATCACAGAGTGGCGAGTGAGAAGAAAAGGATACCTTGGCAGGGTAACAAGACTATAAAAGATCTGGATTCTGCAGACAACTTATGTCCACTATCACACAAATTGAAAGATATAGAGGCGTAAACGAAGAAACTAGCAGGCGAGGCACCCACAGAAGACAGGACTTCAAGTCAACACAGACAAGATGGAGGTCATGGAGATAGCTAACCATCAACACCAACACCAACAAGAACCAACAACTATTAACGGAATAAATTTGACACAGGTCATTTCCTTCACTTATCTGACTTGACAGCATCGCATTGACTACGGGTGTCACGGATGAATATGTCAAAAGTAGATTCGGAAAGGCCAGACATACCTCCATCACCCAAACATTAGGGAGAAATTTTTGTCACTCCATCTCAACGTAAACATAAAAAAAACTCGGAATTTCAACACCATTGTCAAATCGGTTGATTCTTCAATGTCGTCGAATACTTGACAATCGCGTCATGAGAACCACTTCCAACAGACCAGTGCAATCGTTTATTGTCAGCTGCCAACTACGCTGACCCATACTGAAGAACAAATGACTCGCCGGCTGATTGACTGACTCACTGAATGACTGGCTGATGGTCCAGAAAGAATTAGTGGCGAACAAGAAACTCTAGCGATGAACGATCCAACAGACACGAACCTACTACTCAACCAAGAAATATGTGGACAAACGTGGAGATGGATCGAACACACGTCAGCGAGGAGAGTGATGGGTGACATCACTTGTTAGCCAGACCGTCTATCGGGTTGAACCTGCATCAAAAATGGCTAGTTGGATGTGAGTGTGAGGTTGACATGGAGGAGATTGTTTTGGCAGGAGAAGATGAAAGCTGATAGGCATTTATGCGGCCAGCTTAAAGGGGTTTGAAGAGGACTGAATGGAGTTGAGTTGTGCTGTTGAAGCCATAGTTTCCACTAGGCTTCCAAAAAGTACAATGATAGTGTAATAATACATAATAATAATAATAATAATACTCCTGTGATATAAAGTATCAAATGTAGTCTGTTTCTTAATTATTCATGCCACTGTATTCATCTTTAAACCTCAGCGTTTTTTTGTATATCATGTAATCGGTTATTATAAAATGTTATAATGATCTCTATTATGTATGGTTATTTTATTTCTTGTATGCCTTACAATCAAAATAAACAAAGTGGGTAAATATTAAAATCTCCCATTTGCATTTGAACAAAATGTAATTCCCAGTTAATTGTTTTTTTAATCAATTCTGTCTGACTGTTAAGTGTATGTTCAGTAGAGTCACTATAAAATCAGCGAAGAATTATATAAATATTGAAGGAATTGCATGATAAAAAAAACTGACTGTGAGCGGATGAAAACTTCACCTACTGAGTGATGTCCTCAGCAGGAGAATTTCAACATACTGAGGACGACCCTTTTTCTTAACAACACTAAGCGTAATGTTCTCCAATTACCCAATGGTCTGCAGAAACCCAAAGATCTCCCATCTGACCACTTTTCAGTGTTTCTGTGTGTGTGTCTTTGTGCGTATGTAACGCTTCATCATCTGTTACGTTTAAGCCAGGTATATGTGTTGTCAAAAGAGTTCAAGAACACTATATCTCATTGTTGTAGAAAGGTAGTAATGGCTCTATAAGAAGTGAGATAATCAAACACCTTGTCAACACTGGTCATTGCATCTGAAAAAACGCCTCCTTCAAAAGTAATCTACGAAGTGAAGAATAACCTGCTAAAGTACACAGGCTTTCGCTTCCTCTGTGCATTGCTGAAGCCTTAGCTATTCATTGGAAAGACCAGAGTTATGTATACAAAAGGAAATCATTCAAACACTCTTGCCATCATATCAACAATCATGTTGACTCCTATTGACTTGATGTTTTGTTTGTTTGTCTGTTTTTCTAACTCCTTATAACTTTTGTATTTCTGTAGAACTCTTACATACTTCCATATTTTTCTTCATTTCCATTTGCATCCTGATCAGACCTCATTCACTAAATTGTCCATCTTATTGCGTAACTCTAATATACTTCTTATTCATTTCTTCTAATGCACTGACTAATACTAACAACTATATTTGTGACAACTCATCACTTCTGTTACTACCCTTTTTTATGAAAAAAAAGATTATATATAAATACGATTGTACAGCTAACTCTAAAAGGGAAAGTGAATTCACCGTGGAAAAGACAGTATTCACTGAACTACGTGTTTTGATTTGTTATCATGTCTGGATGGAAAATTTTGTGATGAATTATCTACTCAAGTGTTGGTTTGTAGGGATTTGATTGGTTTCAGGATTTCATCATGAGCTGACATTAGTTAGAGAACCATTGGAAAACCTGGGAGTACTGAACAGCTGCTTCCTCCGTCCTAGTTTGGGACTCTTCATCAGTACTCACCCACCGGGATCAGAACCCAGGACCTTCCGGTTACAAGGCGCGCTCGTAATCAAATCCCTACAAAGCAACACTTGAGTACCAGTGAGATGCTCACTGGCGACTGGCCCTATTCAGGTAGGTAGTTACCTGAGTTCCAGTGGGAATTCGTGACCAGTAGGGTGCAGCTGGTCGGGTATGAGGACAAATACTCGCCGAGGACATTGGCTAGCGGTTGCGCCATGTTGTGAATTGGCATAAGTTAGAATTCAAGGACCATTAGATCGGGTCCCAGTTGCTTAATGGTCTACGAGCTAGCTCGCCTTGTAACCGGAAGGCCCTGGGTTCGAACATTGGCGGTGGGTGCGTACTGATGAAGAGTCCCAAACTAGGACGGAGGAAGCAGCTGTCCAGTACTCCTAGGTTTTCCAATGGTTCTCTAACTAATGTCAGCTCATGATGAAATCCTGAATTATCTATTATAATGATAAAAAAATATTTGACAACTGCTATTTTCTGCCTATACACATATACTATCTTGTGAGCAAGGTACAAGTTTTGGACCGACAGCTTATTCTATCGATTTGAACAGCTAATTGCAAAGCCTGGCAATTTTTCATTAATTTTTTTAAAATCTTAATTGACGTAGAAAGAGAAAGAGTGTGTGTGTGTGCAGACTACTGGGAATTACTGAACTGGGACGAAGAATTCTATATATAACAGCCTATACTGGCTATCTAATTGTCTTCGTAGGCATTCTAATGTATACTTTAAAATCAAATGACTATCTGGTGACTGTAAACTATAATAGCACAAAATGAAACTAGCCAATGAACGAATAAATGACCTTAAGCAGCCAATCACATAAGTTCGTAATATACAGGCGCAATTATGGATGCTACATATGAATTACTTAACAAATTTCATCCATATCTAGTATTCAGTTACTGTTTGGAAAATAGAGTCATAGGAGGGGGAGAAAACGTGTAGATGTAGATGTGTGATGCATTTGCTATTATCGTTCATCCACTGCACGGGTTCGAAGACTGACAAAAATAGGAAATCAGTTCGAGAAGTTATACCGTTTTTTATTTTAGCTTATGCTTACTGTAGATACTTTCTTTGTTAAGTCAAAGTTGCCTCCAGTGAAAATTATGATATGTCATAACTGGATCCTAAAAAGATAGAGAGAGATAGAGAGCTTTCGAAACAGAGAAAATTTAGAAGTGTCTGCAGTTCAGTTCTATCAGTTTCTACAGAGATATAACGTCATGGGAAATGAACGATCTGAGGCAAATACTTGATGGCATTGATGTCGTTGTTCAAGTGGATGAGAAAATCCTTATAAACAAAAAGAAATATAATCCAGGTTGATTGACTGACAGTTAGCAGTGGCTATCGGGATTATATTACACTACAGTGCAATAAAGGATATATCCAGACTATCCCTGAACAATTATGCAATCAATTTTGTCAATCCTTTCGATAGTACTCACACAAAATCCATGGAAAATCTTTGTATTCACCTCAAAAAAAGAAGATCAGAGTGGTGAAGGTGTCTAGAAACACGATGATTTACGGTCATCTTGACGAATTTATGTACGTGAACTAATTTAACCTAACTACTATGAAGACTTCTACGAGAAAATGAGGGGTCTTCTTGGAGCAAATGGGGTGTCGCCAACAATTATACATCTCATCCAATAGCTGTACGACAAAGCTGCATTCCAAGTTATACACAACGGGAAACTTACGGAAGCCTTCAAAGAAGTGAAGGTGGGAGTAAGACAAGGCTGCCTACTATCGCCAATTTTCTTCCTGATTGCAGCAGATTGGATAATGCGACAGACAGTGGGCCGGGAAACGAGGAGACAGGCATAAAATGGACCCACACAAAATACTTGTGAGATCTGGACTTCACCGATAATATATTTCTGATTTCTCACAAACTGGAAGATATGCAAGTGAAAAGCAGCAACAAGTTGGTAGAAGAAGCATTCGGAGAAGATAGGACTTCAGATGAACATAGAGAAAACAGGGATGATGAAGATTCCTCGCCAACAGAAACAACAACAGCTACTATGACAGAAAACAGTCAGTGTTAATGTGAGAAATCTGAAAGAAGCAACCTCCTTTACCTGCCCACCTACCTGAGGAACATCATTTCAACCACACGTAGACGGAACTGACGAGAATATCAAAGCGAGGATCGAGAAAGCAAGATAAGGTTGCATTACTCTCAAGTCTGTATGGACATCGACAGCACTCACCATGAAAAATGAGATCCGGATTTTCAACTCCAATATGAAGTCAGTGCAACTGCACGAATAAGAGATTTGACGTGTCGCGAAGAGCTTTTCAAACAAACTACAGACCTATATCAACAATTGTCTCCGTTCAATACTATTCAAGATCAGATTTCCGGTCAGTGTATACCAGAAGCAGGGGTCTCTGGGAGCGAACCAACCCAGCAGGAACCAATTGTGCAAGAAATATGCAGAAGAAACGGAGGTGGATTGGCTGGCCATACTCTGAGGAAACCATCAAGTGACATCACACGCCACGTCATCGCTCGAGTGGAGCCCGAATGGGAAGCGGCGAGTTGGTCGTCAGTGCAAAAGTGACTTGGAGGAGAATATGTGAAGAGGAGATGAAAGCATGTGTGCAGACTTGGAGCCAGGTGAAAACTCTACAGAGAAGCGAACGCAGTGGAGACTTGGGCGGCTGAAGCCCTATGTTTCTCTAGGAACTAGAGGAAATAATCATAATAATCTCGGGGCATATACAAGATAGTATATAAGTATTTTTTAATCATTGCATTTATATATATATATATATCAAATTATGCATTTTTACTTCGGACGCATCTGATTGGTCGACAGAGTTTTTGTCAAGGTTATTTGTCTGTTCATCAAGTAGTACCATTTTTGGGCTGCTGTAGATTAAAGTCATCGAATATCTATCGAAATATTTCACAATATTTTTATTATTAATAATTATTTCACTTTTTTAAACATTTTTAAAACATGTATATTTCATTTTCCTCATCAACAGGAGATGAAATATGCGCTGCATACAAAGCAAGTGGTCTTAATCATATCCTTTTAAAGGTTGGCTCAAATGATACATTTGATTGTGACATGAAACCAGATGTATATAAATATAATGAATATGGCTATTGGTATGCAGATTATGCTGACACAGAATCCATTACATCTAATATTGTATCAATTAAAAATTGTTATCATAAAGCAATTATTGGACCACCACTTGATAGTGATGTATATATAAGAAGTGGTCAAGTTGATATTTATTGTTATTTAATACCCTTTAAAAATCATCAACCAGATTTTGCTCTTCATAAACGTATTACTATTTTAGGTAGGTGAATAATTTATTGATTTACTTTTTATTAATGTCTACACTGTTTTACTCTATCTGCTGTATGTATATACTTTACCTTGTATAATCTAAACGTGTCTAGTTGTTTTTTGTCGTTCACAAAACTAAAATATTGTATATATTATCTCCTTTAGTTCCTAAAGGAACATAGGGCTTCAGCTGGACGTCTCCACTGCGTTTGGTTCCCCGCCAGCGTCTTTCACCTGGCTCCACGTCTGCCTACATGCCTACATCTCATCCTCCATGTCAATCTCGCGGTGACCACCAACTAACTCGCCGGATTCCACTCGAGCGATGGCGTAGCATATGATGTCACTCACTTGATGGTCTGTTTTCTCAAAGTATGGCCTTCAATCTACTTCCATTTCTTCCTGAATATTTATTGCATAATTGGTTCCTGATGGGTTGGTTTGTTCATTGTCAGAGATCCTTGTCGATATAATATGAAACAACTCTTTCCATTTATGAATTTAGATAAAGTATTAAGGAGGCGTAATTTGTCTGAATCATGTCATTTACTTGTGCAACATACTTATTTTGAATAATCTGATCACAAACATGGGCTTGCTTTAGGTAAAAACAGATCTAGGTCAGGTTAAAAGAAGATACTTAAGTAAAGAAAGAACAAATATTGGTGCAGTTTAACATAAAGGGATCCATTTTATTTCTATATTAGGATGACAACTCATCCTGTAATAGCTCTTTTGATTTCTAACTTCTAACCCACTCTCTATTTTCTTCCATGACTTCCCTCCAGAAGTAATTTTTCTTAACCTTATGATATTTACCTCAGCAACTTTTCATTTGACCTCTTGAACTCATCAAATTCCGATCTTCTGTAAAGGAACTTAATCCCAAGTTCCTATTATTTGCGAAGACCCTCAGAATCGATAATTACCTATGAATGATTATCGAACTTAACTCCAAAGCACAAGGACCAGTAAGAAATTATATTCTTCGACAGTTAAATCTGATATTGTGACAAAGTCTATAAAAAAATGTTTTACAAGGAATGTATTGTAAGCGTTTGAATCATTCGCGCTATCGAGTTGCCCGCCAATGGCGACCAAGGCCAATGAACCAACATTCAATGTTCACATTCACTTACATCTTCTCTTAGCTAACTATTTTACCTACTTTTTGTTACCACCGTAGCAATAAATTTGTGAAGTTTTTCAAGAAACTCCTTTTTAAATACAAAATTTATTTGTCCATACTATATTCCTGCAGGTAACTTATCATCTTGATGTTTTATCTCACTATAACGCTCTTACAACATGCCTGTTGATAGACAAAAGTATGTTAAGATTTTCCACTGACTTCTATTTATTAAAGTGTCTAGGCTGTTTGCAGCTGATGAGAACCAATGAGATGTTTGTTCTTTTTCTGTTCAGATTTATGAAAGGAAATTCTCGTATGATATACTGAAGATTAAAATAACAGTTGAGACCAATGGACTGAAGAAGGAATTCACTACTACATCTACCCTGATACTAAAACAAAATTTACCAAAGAAAGTGGTTTTGTGTGATAACGAATTGTTTTTGAACACATAAATGTGACTTAAACTTATTTATGGACAGCTAGAGCTTCTATAAACCTTAGGATACGTGCTAAATACACTTTACAGACGAGTAAACGTCAATTTTATGTTCTACCTCCATAATATATTTCTCAGTAGAAAAGCTAAGTCGACTGTTTTGACTAGTAATGCGTTCTGGAGATTCAGTTAGCTCTCGAAGACATTTCAGAGTGTGATCTGAAGTCCTAACTTACTTGCAAAGATTGATGAGTATTCCATATATATGTATGTTCACAATTACATTTAATCTGTTAAATACAGTGGGAGGATAAGAAATAATTTTTCATATATTCTAAGGGTTCAGATGGATGTGTAGACTTCATATTCATAATAATTCTGATCTGAGCTGCATAAAGTCTTTTAAACCACGGCATTTAAATCATTGTTGAGTTACCAAGCTACTATAATTTCCCATATAGGGTAGCTTGATATAAACGTCTTTCTTAGTGACTAGTTGGATAGTGGATTTTGATGTTCCACCGACCATTTTATATCTCCTTATGAACTTGTTTGGATAATTATTATCAGTCAGAGTTTGTGTCAATTTTATTTCATCATGAAATGTGTCTTCAGTACATATTTGTTGGCTTCTGCTCAAGAGAGGCATCTCACTAAAACCTTTCTGTACCAAACAGGGTAGAAACTGTGGTAATTAAGATATTATCCTGTCCAGGTAGGTGTTATGTTGCTGCTGCTGAGTGGTTAATACTAGTTTTCTCCGTCACCAAATTGCTATGTACTCGTCGACAAATTATTGCTATGTACTGGTCGAGAATTTAATAGTCCTGACGCAAGAAGGACGGAAATCAGAAGACCACTAGGGTTGCGATGATACTTTTATTTTCCAAAACACAAGGAGAAGCAATTCTCACACAAGAGTGTGAGAGCAAAATATATATATTAATGTCCGAACAAGTGTGTGAACGAATATTCAAAATGAACAAATCAATAGACATTCTTAACATGAATGACTAATTATAATGGAGTATCGATCCATATATACATAGCGAAATATAACAGACTGTCAAACAAACACACATATATATATGGATACATATCAGTAGGTTTTATATTCATTATTATTATTTCCTTTAATTCCTAGAGAAACATAGGGTTTCAGCCGCCCAAGTCTCCATTGCGTTCGAAAATCTGCTAGAGTTTTCACCTGGCTCCATGTCTACACACATGCTTTCATCTCCTCCCCACATGACCTCCTCCAAGTCACCCTTGCACTGACGACCAACTTGCCGCTTCCCTTTCGGACTCCACTCGAGCAATGGCTTGTCTGGTGATGTCACTCACTTGATGGTTTGTTTCCTCAGAGTATGGCCAGCCAATCCATCTCCATTTCTTCCTGCTTATTTGTTGCACAATTTGTTCCTGAAGGGTTGATTCACTCATTGCCAGAGATCCCTGTTTCTGATCTTTTCTGGCTGGCCATCTGATCTTGAATAATATTGAGCGAAGATAGCTGTTGATGAAGTTCTGTAGTTTGTTTGAGATGGTCTTTATGACGCGCTGGCCAAGTCTCTGATCCGTATAGTGAGTAGCACTGACTGACTTCACATTGGAGTTGAAAATCCGGATCTCATTTTCATTTTCATGCTGAGTGCTGTTGACCACCACACAGACTTGAGAGTAATGAAAGCTTGTCTTGCTTTTCCGATCCTCGTTTTGATATCCTCGTCAGTTCCGCCTGTAGTTGGAAAGATCTATTCATAGATCATTTTATTGATCCATCAGGCAGTTAAAAAAGTAATATATCTACAAAAGATAAACAATCATCTTTCTCTTCTTTGGTTTAGTGATCTTTACTGTTATTTTGACCTTTAATATGTCGTTTTAACTTAACCTAAGTCTAGTTTTTCTCACTGCTTAACTATTTATTATTTTCATATATGTACTGCTATGACAAGTCCGTGTATGATCAGATTGTTCGAAATGTGTTGCACAAATGCATGACACAATTCAGACAATTCACATTGATTTGATAATATTAGATAGTTGGAGGCAATCGGCCACAGGAAGCCCCACCTGACCTAGCTTTTGTGCTAGTTGGCACTCATCAGTCAGCAAGGTGCATTTGCAACCTTGAAGGAACTTGCGTCCCTTCTGAGATTCAAACCTGCGTTACCCTGTGCCGTCTACAGTCAGAGACCTTACCATTGAGCTATTCAGGCTGGCGACTTACCTCCTGTAGAACTGTAATGGGTAGTTTGATTGAACACTAGTAACTGTTGTGACGTGTCTAGTCCTTTCTTTAGTCAATCACGTTTACATATCACGTATTGTTTTGTCTAAAAATTATAATAACCAAGAATATGTAATAGTTATTCAACTAAGTCAATAAAATGAAATCTGCGTAAATGTTACACTTTGGTGTTGATAATCTACCTGTTTTAACAAGGCGATTAATCCATGTTGACCTAATTTTCTGCCCAAATGAACGATAATGAATTGAACTTGGATTGAATTGAATTGGAAATTAGTTCAGGTTTGGTCAGATCAATAATACTGATGTGGATCTGTGAAGTCTTTTACATTAGTCAAAGTGGACATCCCTTTCCAATCCGCATTCAAAAAATTTAGCTGTAAGCAGGCATGGTATATATATATATATATATATATATATATATATATATGTGGTGAAAGCAGGCTGCTAGCCAATCGGTAGACATTAATCTACGCCAATGTCTAGGTCACTAATATAGGCCGTGGGAAAATATGAGCAAGCCTGATTCAACAACCAATCACAGAAAACTTAACGCAGGCAAATATGATTCGCAGATAAATGGCTCAACTTTTCGATGGTTACCCGAAACAACCAACCAGAAGCCTGCGTTTGTCTGCTTAACTTCTGAGAAACAAGTAATAAGAAGACTGCGTTTGTCTACTTGAATAAGCTATAATAATGTATGTTAAATATATATAAATACGTGTAGATTTCCGTAGTAAAGCGATCCGTTGCCTGGCCCTTGTCTTCTGTTTTTACATATATACATTCATATCGATGTATGCAGATAATTATGGACACCAATTTGATTGGGATAATATAGAAATTTTAAATATGGCGGGTGAACACTAAAAATACTTCCAGGGAATTTCTAGAAGCCTGGTATTCGAAAAATATCAGCCAGAGATTAACAAACACATTAATTACAATAGACCAAATTTATCAGCTAGTAAAAAAGTCTGAATTCCAAGTAAATAAAAACAGCCAACAGAGATCTTAAATTTACAACCAATCACAAAAGTGATCACAAGCAGATGCAATTAAATCAGCATTCATAAGGAACTCAAATGAGTTCATTTCATTTTAAAATCTTCACTGAAAATGTTGAATTAAATCAAATCCCTAAAAATTACATTGAAAGAACATTAAAACATCATTACCTGAAATAAAATTTTGCATGCAAGGAGTTTGGGCGTTCCTAAAAAGGCCTTATTTTTACAAATGCAGTCCCTTTGGGACAACATCATCGAGATACTAATACAACGCCTTAGAAATGCGATAAAAAGAGCATTCCATGCTGCCGAATTACGCTATATCTTAAAAAATCACTCCTCTCCTGCGTTCGGGATCGAAAGACAAACCGCCTAATTTCGCCTCTTCCATGTGTATCTACCAATTTAACTGTTCCTATGGAGCCAGTCACATATGCCGTACAATTAGGTGTGTTTCTCGTCCAGTTTCCGAACATCAGTCTGTATGGTTAAGCAAAGAACAAACAAAATCTATTCGTAGGGCTATTCTATCTCATCTTGTGGATACAGAACACAAGGTTGACGTTAACCATGCTTTCAGGGTCACTTACCGCATACCAACAAAACTCAATTTCGCCTTAAGATTTCGGCTACTAAGTATTGCTGAGGCTGACTGTTGGGATCCATATTAACAAGCCTAATTTGTGTGTCCAAAAGAAGTTAGTTCAGACATTATCCTTACCCGCTTGGCCATCTAGGCTTGAATGATCCTGGATTTTATAGAATTTTACCTAATTTTAGTTGATATTCTGTTTGCTGTTATATCTTTGTTAATGTTATTATTATTTAAGCATCTTTAATGAACTGTGATTCCATTGAGCGTGTGTGTGTTTGCGTGTGTGAATGTTGTTTGTTATGTGGAAAACACGTCAAAACATGATAATATTTTTACAGAGGACTGAATATTTTTTGTATCTCCTCCCATCCGGCTTGCTGTATTAGAGTCTGCCACACAGGTGGCGATAAGTCTGTCGCTTCTCTCTCCATTTACTGCATTCGATGTAGTTAAAATATGAAGGGCTGGCTTTAGAGGTCAGCCTTTCATCATGTGATGAATGAAAGCCTCTTTCTAGAATTTCCACATTGTTGAAATTGATCTTATATTCCACTGTCTAGTAGTATGCATTGCTATAGCTGATCATTTTTCTAGACTCTTTACTTACACTTCATTTCCAGGCGAGTGTTTCGTGCACAGCCTATCTTCATTCACTCTCACCGTCATCTGCCAACTGCTTTCCACTACCTGTATGGAAAGCCTCACATTTTGAGCATTTTATCCTATACATGCGTAGCTTAAAAATCTCCATTGAGTCATACGAAAAATAGAAGCTGTTCAGCGAAAAGACTCTTTTCGGCGAATTCATTCACATAGCTGCACAATCATATCTACATATAATTATTTTTTTCTATGTATGTGTACGTGAGATTTGACAAGTTTAAATAATTGATCAGGTAATACAAGAATGATGATCTAATATAGAAACAAGGTTGATTAGACACCAACTAAATTAAGATTGAGTTAGTAAGTTAGATGACGTAATATAATTGAGTAAAATGTCTAACTTAGGTCAGAATAGCAACAGAGCTAATTACAGGTAGAGAGAGACTAAGTAGAAGTGGGGTAGGGAATAATGCCGTTTAAATTAGAACTGAAATTGAGCAAATAAGTTGGATGACAAACATAAATGACTAGAAATTGAACGTTGGTCAAGTCAGTAACAGTAATAATGAGGTGTAGAAATTAAATCGGGTGGGGCTAGGGAACAAGAAAGTTGAAAATGTAAAATATGACAATTGAGAAGACAAATGAAGACTAATTATATGACAGAAAAAAGATTAGGTAGAATTTACTTGTCAGCTAATAAGATAAATTATGTCCATTGCAAGTGTAGGAATTGAACGAACTTCTTCTATATGCAGAGTTCAGGACTTAGCGAGTGAATCACCATTGCTTCTGCAGTCTGAAGAAGTTTGATTCGTACACTTGTAGGAAGACTGCTTCGTATTCTGTAGACGACTTTGGACATTTTTTGGGGTGTAGCTTGGTGTCCGGAATCTATCAGATGTTCTAAGATGGAGCTGTGGGGGCATCGTTTTTCTCCTTTGTAAAACAATGTTGGTAAGTGTTCGGTGATAAGTTTGAAAAGCGAACTCTGCGTACGGCCGACATACCTGGCTCCACACGAACAGGTGAATTGATGAATACACACTGATGAGGCCAGCAGTGGTAGCTTATACTCCACGTTCACATGAATCATAGGTCTTGTGGAGAAAGTTAGTCGTAGTTCAGCTGCGAAGAATGTCTTCTTAAATGAGCGCGACGGTCGATTTTGTGGTGTTTCCTCAGATGTATCTCCATTGAATTGAAGGTTCATGTAGAGTAGTTTTTTCGGCTTTTGTGGTCTAGGATTCATAGATTTTGCAATGAGTCATTCTGGACAATGATTCTTGACGAGGATTCTCTTGAGATTGTCCAGTTCATTTTCTATAGTGTCCGGAGTGCAAATTCTTCAAACTCTGTAGCTGAGTGAACGGATCAGGTTTCGTTTGGTGTATAGAGGCACCCAACTGTGAAACTTAGTAAGTTGTCCATTCCACGTGGACTTCCTGTTTTGTGTCATTTTGCGAAACATATCCCTGACACTCAATTACGAAAGATTTCTCTAAAGAATTACAGAGCTTGAAATGAAATTTACTGTTATATGAAGTAAGTAATCTTTGAAGCTGTTCAGCTGTCTTCTCTCGATATATATGGAATGACTATCGTGACATATGTAATCAATACTTTATAAATGATACACTGTATTTTTTTAAAATTCCCCTCTATATTAGATATATTGATGTATCCTGAGAATTTAACCTTTTATGTTGGAGATGATATTGAACCAATATGTACTGTCACTGGAATTAGTATAAATAATCTACATTCTATTGGATATCTTCAGATTGTTCCCCTGAAGCCTATTGATGATATATTAAGTGTGATACATGCCATTGAAACACCATTTATTCGACCACCTAGAGGTTATAGAACATATCCAAAGCCAAGTCATATACCTATTGAATGTATTTTTACATCACATGATGGTAAAACAATTAAATCTCAATTTGAGATTCATATATTAAGTAAGTTTTTGTTGATTGATTAAAAATGACCATTAAAAATAATTTTTTCAAAATAAAAGGTTACAGAATAAAGAATATTCTTTTCGATAAACTGTTCTTCATCAAGTTCTATTATTATTATTATTATTATTATTTCCTTTAATTCCTAGAGGAACATAGGGCTTCAGCAACGCGTCTCCATAGCGTTCGGTTCACTCCTAGTGTTTTCACCTGGCTCCAAGTCTGCCCACATACTTTCATCTCCTCTTCACATGACCACCTCCATGTCACCCTTGGACGACCAACTCACTACTTCCCTTTCGGGTTCCACTCGAGCAATGGCCTGACGTGTGATGTCACTTGATGGTTTCCTCAGAGCATGGCCAGCCAATCAACCTCCATTTCTTCCTGCTTATTTGCTGCACAATTGGTTCCTGCAGGGTTGATTCACTCATTGCCAGGGATCCCTATTGCTGATCTTTTCTGGCTGGCCATCTGATCTTGTGCTCATAATCATACGAAAGATTACGTAGGATTCTAAACAAAACAGGAATCAGGGTGGCATTTAAACCTAAAAACTCACTCAGAGACAAGCTCTGTAGGCTAAAAGACCCGGTGGACCCAATTAGACAAAATAACATAATTTACAAAATACCCTGCAACGATTATGAGGCCAGCTACATAGGTCAAACTAGTAGGTCAGGGATAGTCAGATTATCAGAACATAAGAATTTAGCTAAGGTAAGAATGGTCGACCCTGAAAAGTTAAGTAATTTAGAAAAAACCTCAGCTATTGCACTTCACGCATTAACAAACAACCACACAATATTGTGGGAGAGGGTTAAAATTCTAAAAAGTAATATAGGTAGGCGCAGAGAGAGGTTGATTACGGAATCCTTGCTCATCGAGTCTACATCCAATACATGCAACAGAAATGACTCAATGCAAATACCAGAAATATGGAAGATATTATTACCACCAGTCAAATGAGAAAAGGATAATAAATAACCTTAAAATTCTATTTCAATTCAAACACATCAAAACATTCTAACTAGTAACTTATCATGACTGTATAAAAAAACACTCGTATAAAACATTCGTATTTCCCATATAATTGTAATAAGTCAATAACACTCGTACTTTTATTTCTGAATAGACATTATCTCACATTGATTTTTAACCCAATATCTAATCGATTCCACATATGTATATAAATGGAAGGAAAAAGTTGTGTAACTTGATATGATTATGAGTGGCAATAGTTTGTGCTCGAAGCGTCATCAGTTAATATAACTGTACAACACTGTGTGATTATCAAAATAAAATCTTATCCATAATGGAGTTACACTCCACCACAGTGCCCAAGTTTTATACTTACATCTGATCTTGAGTAGTATTGAGCGAAGGCAGCTGTTATTGAGGGTCTTTAGTTTGTTTGACGTGCTCTTTATGACGTGCCAAGTCTCTAATCCGTATAGTAGCACTGACTTCACATTCGAGTTGAAAATCGGGATCTCATTTTTTTCATAGTGAGTGCTGTTGACCTCCACACAGACTTAAGAGTAATGAAAGCTTATCTTGCTTTTCTGATTCTGGCTTTGATATCCTCGTCCGTTCCTTTCGCCTGTAGTTGAAACGATACTTCCCAGGTGGGTAAAGGAGGTTGTTTCTTTCAGGTTCCTCCCATTTTTGCTGGCTGATTGTTGTCTGCCATCAATTTCTATAGTTATATATATATATATATATATAGTAGTGAATGAATTGGTGTTTTTAACAACAATAATGTTGTTTAATGTTGACTTCATGCAATAAATCTGCTAAAGGGATTTTGTCTGACTCGGAGCATCCGCTTTACCCTCAGCTTTTACCTTGCATCTCCTCAGGTAGAACAAGTAGTAACTTCAGAAAACTGTATGCTCGCACGTCTAAGTATAAGAATTCTATGATACCATATTTGGCACAAATTTTATGTGATGAAAATAGTGTCAGGCAACAATTAACTAACCTTTTTTCACCTAGTAAATACATAATTTCCTCCATCCATCCTTATACACCTTGAAGTTTTACTTTTATTACGTCTATTATATTTATGGTCCTGTTACTTCTCTGTTTTACTCTCATAATTGCAAACACCGACTTATCTCCATGACGGCTGTAATCTTTGTTTTTCCCTCACCATCACCATCATGTAAAGAGAACATTATATTCAATATTTTTAAACATGTTAGGATTTCTATACCATATTACCAATACTGTGTGACACAAGCCAACAGCAATTTTCACTTGTATTCTTATTATTATTACCCTAGCTGTTATCATTATTATTGCTATTTCCATTTTATATGCTGCATGTTTTTGACACTACCCCTATTGTAAATGTGGAAAATTTTCTGTGTGATTAATTTTTATTTATAATTTGAGGAAATTAGATGGAGTAATATTGTGAATAATGTTGAAAATTCCATTCTGTATCACAAGTACTGTTTTTGGAATAAAGTAAATCATTATAGAATTCACGAGCCATTGAATCGGGTCCCAGTGGCTGAATGGTATACGAGCTTGCCTTGTAACCGGAAGGTCCTGGGTTCGAAACCAGTGGGTGCGTACTGCCGATGATTCCCAAACTAGGATGAAACAGCAGCTGTCCAGTACTCCCTGGTTTTCAATGGTTCTCTAACTGATATCAATCCGTGATCAACTCGTAAAACATAACTAATCCTTACAAACCAAACTATAGAAAGTTAATCTGATGCTCGCTAGTGACTTGCTACAGGTTGGAGTTTCCTGAGTTCTAGTGAGAAGTCGTGACCAGTGAGGTCCAATTAGATGTCACGTGTGTGGATGGATGTCCCACCAACGACAATGGTTGGGGTCGCGCTAAATCACGAATTGGTAGAAGTTAGAATTCACGAGCCATTGAGTCGGGTCCAGTGGCTGAATGGTATACGAGCTTGCCTTGTAACCGGAAGGTCCTGGGTTCGAAACCAGTGGGTGCGTACTGCCGATGATTCCCAAACTAGGATGAAACATCAGCTGTCCAGTACTCCCTGGTTTTCAATGGTTCTCTAACTGATATCATTCCGTGATCAACTCGTAAATATTATTATTATTATTATTAAATAACACTGAATCAATAATAATAAGATCTGGAATTCACAGATGATGTATGTCTACTGTCACAGAAACTCGTAGAATTTAGGGACGAAAACCAACAAACTATCAGGGGTGAGGCAGGCAGCAAAGATACGACTGCAGGTGAACCTAGAGAAGACGGAGGTGATGAAGATAATCAACGAAACACAACAACAATAACATTTGCAACAGCCAACACCAATCATCATCAACACGAGGGATTTAACAGACGTCACCTTTTTTAATTATCTGGCTAGGAAGCATCGTTTTAACTACTAGTATACAGCACGGATGAAGACGTGAAAGTCAGCCAGAATCGAAAATGCAAGATGCGCCTTCATCAACCTGAATCCAGTTTGAAATCAGCTGCTTCACTCACCCTAACCATAAAAAACAACAAATTGGACTCTGTGTTCAACACCAATGTCAAGATGGTACTTCTATACGAGTCAGACAGAAATTTGCACTGCGTGTCATATTCAGACTTTTACCAACAGCTACCCACTTCAGTATTTCCATACTTAAGATCAAATGGTCAGAAGGAATGGGTAACAAGTAACTGTGGTTGTGAACAAACCAACGAAGAGCCGATCACTCAACAGATACGTAGCAGAAAATGGAGATGGATCAGGCATACATCGAGTAGACTGTCGAATGATATCGCGCTCAACGCAGGCCATCACTGGAGTGGAATCCAAATGGTAAGGAACGAGTGCATCGTCATTTCGACGGTGACATGGAGGAGATCGTGAGAGGAGGACATCAGAGATAATATGCAATGGTGGAGTCAGGTGAAGAGGACGACAGAAAATGTGAGTCAGTAGAACAGCGGTTAGGATTCTCGCCGACCATGCACGTGGTCCGGGGTTCGATCCCCTGCCTACACATAACTGATATCAATGGTAGGCTTGCGAAATTTGGGCCAATAATATCATATGCTAAAAATTCCACACTAGTACAAAAAATACTGTGTGGTTTCTAACTATAATAAAAAAATAGAACAAAGTGAAGATGCCTAGTTGAAGCCTTATGTTCCACTTGGAGCCCAACGGAAAAATTCTAATAATAATAATTACAGGTCGATAACATCAAAATAACAATACACTCAATATCAGAAAAATTAGGAGAGATAATATTAATAATAATACGCTACTGAGACACACCAAACAATAAAGAACAAGGAAAAGCAGGCTGCGTGTGACCGGCCTCAAGCAGTTGTCCCCTAGGCTCTGCTATCACGCAACCAACTTCCACGGTGTGGGCAGCCGGGAAGTAACAATCGCCCTCACAATCTGAAATGCACACGAAACCTCTATAATCCTCACTTATCTTTGTCTTCATCTTCATCTCTATTATCTTGCTTTCCTTCCACTGATGCAACTCCTCTACTTGATGGCTCCTCACTCCCTCTTCACTCTGTGTCCACTAAAATCGAAGGAAGCCAAAAAACCACCACCGATAGTCTCCTAAAGCCACGCCACCAATTTCATATAGGAGCATTTAATGTTAGGACACTTTGCCAAATAGAAAAACAAGCATCACTAGCTAAGACCCTGGCATCCCGAGCCATTGATGTATTTTGTGTTTCAGAAACACGCATACAAAACCCAAGTGCGGTTATTCACCTAACCCCACCTGGCCAACAGGATGAATCTGAGAAATACACCTTGAGGGTGTCAGGAGATGTCACACCTAGTTCACGAGGATTAGCTGGTGTAGGGATAGCTTTCAGTACTAGGGCAGAGAAGACATTACTTGACTGGATCCCGGTAGATAGCCGAATGTGTGCTGTTCGTCTGAACGGCTTCAGTAAAAAGGAGAAAGGACTGCACTACTCGCCGATGCCTGTTCGTAATCTCCGCCCACGCCCTCACTGACTGCAGTTCGGA